CATGTGCTTAATTTTTCTCACTTGATGGCAGACTTGAATGGCTAGTGGATGGCAGCTTGCTGCTGAAAGCTTGAACTGAACAGGAATTTAGTGTTGAATCAGCATCATCTTACAGATGGTCTGAGTCAGGTAAATAAAGGTCAAGCCTCAGTTTCCCTCATCAGTAAAACTAGGATAAAGGTAATATCTATTTCAAAAGGTTATTGTATCCATTAAGTGAAACAATATATATGCAACATGCTTAATGTAAGATATAGCACATGGTGGTAGTGGTGGTGATTTTTGTTGTTAGGTGCCATCGAGTCAGAACTGACCGATAGCGACCTTATGCACAGCAGAACAAAATGCTGCCCGATCCTGGGCCAACTTCACTACTGTTGCCACGCTTGAGCCCATGGATGCTGCCACTTGGCCAATCCATCTCATTGGGGGTCTTCTTCTTTTACTCTGACTCTCCACCTTACCAAACATGATATCCTTCTCCAGTGACTGGTTCCTCCTCACAATATGTCCAAAGTATGAGAAACGAAGTTTGGCCATCTTGGCCTCCAAGGAGCACTCTGGCTGCACTTCTTCCAACACAGATCTGTTGGTTCTTTGGGCAGCCCATGGCACTTTCAGTATTCTCCTCCAACACCATAACTCAAAAGCATCAATTCTTCTGCAATCTTCACTGTCCAGCTTTCACACGCATATGAGGTTATTGAAAATACCATGGCTTGGATCAGGCACACCTTAGTCCTCAATCTGACATCTTTGCTCGTCAACACTTTAAAAAGGTCTTGTGCAGCAGATTTGCCTAATGCAATACATCATTTAATTTCTTGACTGCTCCTTCCATGAGTGTTGATAGGTGATCCAAGAAGAATGAAGCCCTGAGAACTTCAATTTTTTCTCTGTTGATAAGAATGTTGTTTATTGGTCCAGTGGTGAGGATTTTTGTTTTATTTACATTGAGATGTAATCCATACTGAAGGCTGAGCTCTTTGATCTTCATGTAAATGTTTTAAGTTCCCTTGTACTGTTAAGTCAATTCCAACTCCTAGTGTCCTTATATAGGGTTGCTAAGGCTGTAAATCTTTGTGGGAGCAGAAAGCCTCATCTTTCTCCCTTGGAGTGACTTGTGGGCTTCAACTGGTAATCTTGAGGTTTGTAGTCCAGTGCTTATCTTACATAACCACAGGAATACTAATCAGCATTGCGTTAATATTATTATGCTGAAATTGAGAAAGAAACGACCAAATCAGTGGATTTCCAATTAACTGTCCAGCTCTGGTTACATAGTAGTTAGAGCACTTATCTGTGACCCAAAAGGTCAGTGGTTCAAACCCTCCAAATATGGTAGTCTGCTTTGGAGAAGATTTACAGCCTTGGAAACCCTTTGCGGTAGCTCTGTTCTGGCATATAGTGTCACTGAATTGGAATTGCCTCTACAGCATTGGGTTTGGTTTCATTTAGTCTGCCCTGCAATGCACTGTTCTTGTTACAGAATTTCCTAAACTTTGAGCATAGCAATCACTTGGGTGCTTATAAAAATTCAGGCTCTTAGATCTTTCCCTGAAGATTCTATAATTAAATCTGAAATGGGGTCTGTGAATCTGATTTAATAAGTATCTCCAGGTAACTCTAGGATCAGACATTTTTAGGAAACAGTGTACTAGTATAACTCAGAGTAGCATAATTTTTGTTAAATTGCTATTAATAGCTTATAATAAGCATAAATGTGAATGGGACCAAGAGAAATAGAACTCTGATGTGGAGGGCTTGTAGTTGTGGTAAATGGAATTTTTTTAGAGCTATTTTTTCCTGAGAAAAAACCTTGGCTGTCCTGTTTTTCACCGTAGTAGTATGCAGAAATAAGTCTTGGGTTTCGTATTCCTACTGTAAGGTTTTTTATAATCAGACAAGAATGGCCACGATTTCAGTATTAACAGTTGAGAGTCATTGTAGGAAATAAAATGTGATCACAAATTCTTCTGTTTACCTGCTTCATGTGCACTCTTAATTGATTTTGGATTTCTGGCTTCTACTTTCCCTGCTTTTTAAAGCTGTTTGTAACATTCTTGTTGAAAGAGTGAAAACAAAGTAATAATTACCTTGTTTCCAAAGGTAAATGGTAATGACTAAAGATACATATCAATCTTTTCTATACCTAGCATGCTTATGCCGTCTATGTAATAATTTCTGTTTCTGTGTTGCAGATAGGCCCAGGAATAGTTCTTATCCAGTGAATTTATAATGTAAAAGTAGCTGCAATATTTCTTTTGAAGAAAAAAAAAAGAGTTTGCTATAACTTAGTTGACACTTTTTCTGCATTTGATTGGTTTGCCCTAACAGATTTGCGTGTTAAAAGGTCTCAAGTGTGGGAGAACAGAAATTGAGAATTTTTTAATAGAGTAAATGAAGTTACCTTTCTGAAGGTAAAAAAGAGCTAACCAGAGATGGCCAGCTACTACAATTGTTATGTGCCATAGAGTTGGTTTCGACTCAGAGACCCTGTGTAGGGTTTCTGAGGAGCAACTGGTTTCTGAGCTGGTGGTTCATACTGACCTTGTAATAAATACCACACCGCTAAATAGAAATCCTCTGCTTTATTTTCTGTGAAGTATATAGTAATTGTGCTGGTTAAATTTTCTCTAAAGGGCTTAGAACTAGAAAAGGCTACTATTGTTAAGTGCTATGGAGTTGGTTCCGACTCATAGTGACCCTGTATAGGGTTTCCGAGGACCAACTGGTAGGTTTGAACCACTAACCTTGTGGTTAATAGTCCAGTGCTTATCCTACAGTGCCCACACCAGGACACTGAAAAGACTGCTAGCACTGGGAGTTTTGGAGAAAAGCTCTTATTCTCTCCGACACATTTCTGTGTATGCTTTTAATGCTGCTCTTCCGTTGGATTCCTGGTGGGGAGTGGTGGAGTCGGTTCTGAATCATACCAACCCTGCATAGGGTTTCCAAGGCTGTAAATCTTTACGGGGCCAGAAAGCTTCATCTTTCTCCCATGGAACTACTGGTAGTTTCGAACTGCTGATTGTGAGATTAGCAGCCTGACTTGTAACCACTATGCTTACCGGAGTGCCTTGGTGGGGTGTGGAGGATGGCTGAAAGGCCAGAGAATGTTAGGCTTTGCTCAGGAGCTCCCAAAGGAATGTGTGGCAAGCTGAAGAGGGTTCTACTAAGGGAAAAGACTACTTACTGACTCAGGCTCTGAGGTAAGGGAAGAGGGCATGCAACCCTGGCCGTTAGAGTATTCCTGTGGTGGTCTTTTATAGAAAAGGTTGTTGTTAAGTGAAGTAGAGTGGTTCCAACGCATAGCAACCTTTTATAGGGTTTCTGAGGAGTAACTGTTGAGTTTGAACCACCGACCTTTTGGCTCATACCAACTTTATGGTCTAGTGCTTATCGTCTAGCACCACAACAACACTCTCCTTATGGTCTCTTATAGAGCGTTGTTGTTGTTGTGAAGTGCCATTGAGTCGGTTCCGAACCATAGCGACTCTGTATAGGGTTTCCAAGGAGCAGCTGGTGAGCTTGAACCACCAACCTTGCAGTTCAAACGGCTTTGCAGTCTGGTGCATTAACCCACAGCGCCATAGCATCCCACAAAGAAGGTGGGAGTTCCAGATGACTTGATAACTGTTTTATGCATCTCAAGTAATGGACCTGAAAGGAAATTGTGATGATTAACATTCACCAAGTAATTTGTATTTTGTCCCTCTAGGATTTACCTCATTTGTCTTATTTTATTGGGCAGTAATTTAAAATTTGGAGTCTTGGTATGTCACTGTGGTCTAATGCTTCAGACTGCAGAGTCGTTTGAACTACAAGGTCGGTGGTTCAGGCTCACCAGCTGCTCCTTGGAAACCCTATACAGGATTGCTATGGGTCGGAATTTACTCCACTGCACTTAACAACAACAACAACGTAGCTCTGACTGGTTTACACTAAGAGCTGGCAGGAGTATGAAAGTACAAGTCTTTCACTGACCTTGAACTGTATTGGTGTGAATGAGGGTCTGGGGGAGGGGGAAGGAAGACTTTTATGTGTAAAATGTTATTTTCTTTATATTGGTTTAGTTTCTATGAGGTGTGTCATGAAGGATTTTTAAAAAATATAGTATTAAAGAGATAATTTTTAAACAAGTGACAATATATATATAAATGAAAATACTGAAAATTCACGCCCATAGCAGCTCTGTTTATTCCATGTTAATTTGAAGATATTCTAAAATCCATCTATTTCAAGGGCTGAGTCCATAGGCTGAATCATGCTGACTTGCTAGAATTGCTTTCAGAGTGGTGCGCTTTGAATGCTCTGCCATTTGCCTTTATTGAAAGAGTTATGTGAAGCTCACATTTTCTGTGATGTTAGAGAATGTATTTTATTGCATCAGATGTTTTATGAAGACCCTTGTGACAAAGTCTGTCCATGTGTCAGTGCCACAAACTGCTGTGCTTCCCCAAACTGTGATGTGTTTGCCTTTGACCTTTTCTAGTTGAGAATTTTGTTTTTCTAAAATGATAAAACAGTGGAGAACCCCATTGCTCTTTAGATGGTGGTGAGCTTGTTATACACTTTATTTAAAAGTAGACTGGCATTGAATGCAAAGAAAAAAAAAAGGTACAGAATACAGTATAGAGTATTATCATTTTATAACTACTTACAGATATTTGCCAAAGCGCTCAAGTTATTGTCTCCTCAAGAATAGAAGTAGATTGATGAGAGGCTTTGATTACTTACTTTTATGGACTTCTGTGTTGTTCAAACATTCTTTAACCATGTACACATAGCCTGTTTAATTTCTTAAAATAATTTATTTGAAAAACAGATGGAACACTGCCTCCTATTATTTGACTTGGGTAACAGATTCACCGAAGCAAGTTCTCATTGGGCTATTCTGTTTCTGCGACTAACCATGGATGGAAATTTACCAATGCCTTGTTTCTGCTGTTTGTGAAAAAAGTCAAACTGTGATGCTTGTTTTGTCTCTCCTCTCTCAGGCCACTTGGATCCAGGATTCCTAGTGAATGATAAAACATCTGCTGGCAATGTACCACTTAATGAAGAAATTAATATCCCCTCTTCAGACAGTGAAGTGGAAATTGTGGGGGTTCAGGAACATGCAAGGTAGGATATTTGTTGGAGTAAACTGGTATTTTAAACGGTGATTTTATTTTAATCAGAGAAGTGGGAGAAAAAAAAAAGGTAGATCTCATAGCATGGTTGGCATGAATAGTGGGAGCTATATTCCAACTTGCTGTGGCTTAAAGCATATGCTTTCTGAGCTCAACAATGTGCTACATATGATGGGGCTTCAAAAAAGTTCACAGAAGCAAAACTCAAATCTTAAAAAAAAAGACCAGGCTTACTGGTCAAATAGAGACTGGTGGAGCCCTGGAGACTATGGCCCTTAGCCACCCTTCAGGTCTGGAAACGAACTCACCCCCATGGCTCAGTTTCCAACCAAACAATAGGTAGATCTATAAGGGGCACACTAGTAGTAGGGAGGTATGCACACTGTAGACTGATCAACCATTTGAGATCAAAAGAGCAGCATTTGCTCAAGGACAACGTTCAGAAAGGTTAGGAGAAGAGGAGAACTGGAGATAGGAAACACAGGGAGGAAGCAGGATAAGTGAGGTTCCATTGTGGGGACTGGGGGATTGTATTCAGTGATATGAAATATGTATGAATTGTTGAATGGAAAACTAATTTGCTCTGTAAACCTTCACCTAATTCACAGTAACAATTTTTTTTTGAAGTTTGGAGTAAAACAGAATTATTTTAAAGAAAATTTTAGCAAATTTTTTGAAGCCCTCTTGTATTGTCTTATAACAGGAACATCTCCACTGTCTGTGTCTGTGAGCTGGAGTTGATTTTTTCCCCACTTTATTCAGCAAATGTCTGGACGGCTTGACAGATTTTTCTCTTAGTGCAGAAGTATCACTGTGTTCCCTTTCTCATTTATATCAGTTTGCCCTGGAATATACTGGGAGCAAACAATTGGGAGATAGACATCTGACACCAGATTTCTTGTTTCCCCAGAACACCTCTCCTTGTCTTTCATTAAAAGTAAATGTGCAAGTCTTTTTGGAGTCCTGGTGTGGTGCTGTGGGTTAATGAGCTGGACTGCATAGTCCGTTTGAATTGTAGGGTCCGCAATTCAAACTCACCAGCCGCTCGGGGGAAACCCTATACAAGGTCGCTATGGGTGGGAACCAACTCAACAGCACTTAACAACATTATGAAATTAATTTTTGGAGCTTGGCATTTTTAAGGCCAAAACCCAGTTATACTTTCTGAGAATGTTTGTCAGTTAAACAGTTGGAATTTTAAGGATATAGTGTTTAATCAAATAGTTTAAAAACAAAAACACTTCTTTTCTCCAAAGTGGCCAATTCTGTCTTTATCAGAGCTATTATTAGTCTTAAGGCGTGCTGGTGGCACTGTAGGTTAGGCATTGGGCTGCTAACTGCAAGGTCAGAGGTTCAAACCTAACCAGCTGCTCATGAGGCTGTCAGCTCTTATAAATACTTACATAGTCTCAGAAACCCTGTATGGGGTGATATGAGTTAGAATTGAGTCGGTGATAGTTTTTTTGTTTTTTGTTTTTTGTTTTAATTATTGGTTTAGCATTTCATCCTCTAATCCGTATTTTTGCCATGTTAAATGTTATTGAGTTGGTTCAGACTCAGTAGCAACCCTATGTAGGGTTTATGAGGATCAGCTGGTGAGTTTGAACTGCCAACTTTGTGGTTCGCAGTCCAGTGCTGATCCTACAGTACCACACCAAGAGTCCCATTTATGCCATGTTGTTAAGTGCTTTCAAGTCAGTTCTGAGGAGTGACTGGTGGGTCTGAACCACTGACCTTACACAGTTCAAATTGACCTTATAGTCCAGCACATTACCCTGCAGTGCCAGACCAGGACTCCTTACTAAGCTGTCATCTTTTTTCCTCCTTCTCCTTTTCTTTTAAAACGGTTATTTTCCCTACATTGGTGGGAAAGAATTCATTTTTCTATTTTAGCAATAAACTTTTTCTGAGTAGGTCCTCTTCCCATATTTTTCTGTTCTCTTCTGACTTATCTATCATAATTAGGTGTTAGAATTACTGAAGGATAGTACAATACTGTTTGTTTTGAGCTCTGTTCTATACTGCTTCCCTGCTGACTGATAGATTGATGTAGGTTAGTTAACTTTAATTGTGTCAGGAGCACATTATCTACTCACCAGTTTCCTCTTGAATTTCATTTCAGATTACAAGGAGCCTTCAAAAATTTCATGAGAAAATTCCGTAATTTTTTCATTCAGATTTTCCAAGAACTTTTTGAAGTTCCCTTGTATATAGTTCATTGTCTCACATATTCCTGCTTAAGGCGGAGAGAGCAGGTAAACAACCTGTTGCTTATCTCTTGATTTAATCTCTTGCTCTCTGCTGAGATATATTACTTGGTCCAGTTCTCTCTGGACTTTAACCAAGTCACCCTCCTTTGGTTTTGGTTTCCTTTTGCTTAGAAATCTTGTGAACTACCAATCTTTTTAGCTCCCTTTTCCCAGTTGTCTTCCATCATGGATTCTCTTGCATCTTTTCCACCAATTATTTCTGATATATAGAGTTTGAGGATTTAAAATTATCATTATATTTCTGTTAAACTTCAAAATTGAAATGTTAAATTCCCCTCCCCCCAACACACACACACACACACACACACAAATTGGCACTAGTGCATCCTTCTCTGAACGTGGTAGATCATCCTTCTCTAGATTGTCAGTTTACTCTATAGACATACTTATTCCCATCTTGAACTAAGTCAGTGACTTTGGGTACATACATATTAAATAGCACGCTTTAACATTACTTTTAAGGACATTTTTTCCTAACTCTGAAGCTTAAAGATGTGTTTTATTATGATCAGTTGTTTTGAATATTGGTACAGTTAGATCTTGAAAGTAACATCCATTTTGAAACCTCCATGGTGGATATACTGTCCATTATAGTGAATGTACACTTTGTAAGTTTTGTTGGAGTTTTTTTTATTATTATTATTTTTTTATTTTTTAACTGAGACCTGAATTATTTTGAGGGCATCTTTTATATTAGTCTTTGAGTCTAGAACTGAGTGTTTCACTGATTCCACTCTGTCTTTCTGGAGTTGTTCCCTTCCCCCTTCCAGCAGAAGTAGCTGTATGATCTTTGAAAGATTGAAATTAAAAAGCTGAGATCCAGGTGGGGGAAGAGGCTTTCTTGTTGGTTGCTTCAGAATTGCCCCCATCGATGGCCTTCAGCTCATGCGGAATTTGTTTCTTTTACAGGTCTAGGGTTGCAGTTATGAAGTATTGATGGGCTTCTGGCAGGGTTATCACCTGGAAAAAGGTTTTAGGTTTTGATCCACATCTTTTTGTTCTAATTTGATTTGCATGCAGAGATGTTTTGTGTGGATTTTGTTGTCCTGCAATCTGTCTGTCTTAGCTATTTAATTCTACATTGTTGGTTTTTTTCTGAGAGTTAAAAAATTTTGGACTTGGTCCTTGAGTTATTATTCTCGTTGGGACTGGAATTGTTCTAATTTGTGTTGGATTACATTTTTCCATTCTGGAAGCATTTGTTTGACCTTTGCATTCAGTAATTTTGGTTGTGATATGCCTTTGTCTTTTTTCTTCTTGATAAACAGTATTTTTGTTTCTTTCTTGCATGTTAATCCCTTCCATGTTCTCCCATATGTGTTCCTCTAGTTGTAGACTAGAATGCATGCTTTCTGAACTAATGGTTGAATGCATCTTTTATGGCTGCCTTGTGTTGCTGTGGTGGTCTCCTAATGTACCTAAACATTATTGTGTCAGATATTAATTTTTGGACAGTTCACAAGATGTCCATTGCTAGTGACGTGGAGACTTTCCCAACATCTCCAGTTCTTCTGTGCCCACTTAATTTTGTCCCAAGTTTTAATTCATGATCCTCTTGTCAGTACCACTTAATCTTGCCAAAAGTTTTAATGTATGAACATCATGTCAATATTTTTCTTAGTCCTCAGTATTTTTTCCTTTTCTTCTACCCACCTTGTTGGCAATTGCCCTGGGAAGATAAAGCTATCTAGTGCTGATTTTTCTGTTTAAGAAACTGTATTTGAAAAGTCTCCTCAGTCCCTGTTCTCAGAGGCTTTTGTTGAATATGTAGACCCTGAAACCTCATTTCACAGTGGTCTGCTGGTCCTGCAGTTGTTGGTGTTAATATTGGTTCATCCCTCAAAACAGAATTGATGCAGGAAGGCTTTCACATTAACACTGAATGCTGCCTAGAACCTATTGCTAATGTTTACCATGCAAACCTTAGAGAGGCAGATATGTAAACAAAGTCTAGTAAAGGAAGATTTTCCTAACACTGTGAACATTAACTTTGTTTTCAGGTTAGGAAAAGTAAGTAGGAATGTTATTTAAGAGGACTGCTTCAGACTCTGTAAATGAGAGTAAAATGATGAATTTTTAATGTAATTTTCCACCTATCCTTACTAAGGATGGTAAGTGAACTTTATCAAAAGCAAACCATCAGAGTCTGTTCTCTTTCCCTCTTCTGTTTTCTACTATGAAGTGTGTCTTTCCTTTATAGGTTTCAGTATCTGAAGAGCAGGAAATTATCAAAACTTAGTGTTTATAAGGTTTTTTTCCCCCCTAGCATTTTGAAAACTGAGTCCTAATCACTTTCTTAGTTTTAAGACTTGAAATTTGGCTCTAACTTGTTTTTTACATGTCTCCAGCTATGTGCCCATTAAGTATTTTGTGGGTACAAAGGCTGTATCTGTACCAGAATTTGATTGGACCAATGAACTTATAGCAGAGGATGCCCCATTCTACCTCTTTTTATAATACCGAACAGGATATATGATGATGCATGACTATCTCTTTTTTTATCTTAGCCACCTTGCAAAATTTCGAGCCTCTTACATCCTTCATTATAGGGTATCTTTTTAGGTCTTATAATAATTATGGTATTGTTTTCTCTTGAAACTTTTTCTGATTTAGTGCAAGTTTTTCTATAATGTACATACTATCCTGGTATGATGCTATAGAATGAGCACTGGACTGACAGCCACAAGGTTGGCAGTTCAGACCCACTAACTACTCCTCAGAA